ATTTATAATTTCCTTTTAAAAAAATTTTTTTAAAGAGACAATTCATCAATACAGAAACACGAGAGAGAGAGAGAGAGAGAGAGAGAGAGAGAGAATTTTAATATTTATTATTTTTTAGTTTTCGGCAGACACAACATCTTTGTTTGTATGTGGTCCTGAGGATTGAACCTGGGCCGCATGCATGCCAGGCGAGCGTGCTACCGCTTGAGCCACATCCCCAGCCCCTAAATTTATAACTTTTTAAAAAATCAGCTTATGATGGTTGTGGGAGACCAACCTTGCACGTGACTGGGTCATACTCCCCGGCTGGGTGCTGAGGCGCTCAGTCACAGAAATGTGGCAGAGCTTTCCCTACCCTTCTTGGGTTCGAGGGTCGGTATCTCGTGCATGGGTGTGTCTTGCTACAGCCCCATGGGTGAAGCTATGCTCACTTGTTCCTTTATAATATAACCCCTTGCCCTGTTTAGGATAGAATCTTCCATGGAAGTGTTTTGTGTGTGTCCCCTTCTCTTACTGTGCCCTTGGATTTGGCCTACCCAGGTGTCAGTCAACCTGTTGACAGTGGACATCATGAAGACAGACTCAGCCCCTGAAACCTGACCCCTTGCCTCATTTGAATAGCTTCTCCTCAATAAAAGGGGTCAGCACGGGCACTCGCTCGCTCTCTTCCTGCAGACCCTTAAGGTCAGAGGAGCCATCACTGCGACCCCAAAGAAAAAGGTATTTGTGTCTCTTGTGTGGTTATTTTGCACAGCTCAGTTACCCCAATTCAACTGGAGTGACCCCTGAGCCTTTTAGTCGCGAGAACAGAAACCCAGCAGATGAGGACTTCATTTTTTTAAAACTAATTACTGTATTTAACTCAATGCACCACCCTTTGACAGTATGTCTTCTACATTTCAATATTCTAATTTTTACCATGTAAGGAAATGGGCAATGTAAAGAATATTTGCTTTTAATACTGGAAACACATGAACACTACATAAATGCATAAAATCCACTTCCCCAAGACAGTTTAGTCTCTTAAGAAATAAAATAAAAGAATGTACTGATGTACTAATTAAATCCAAAGAAGCCTACTTGGCATTATGCCTCCTTTTTGGTTGTAGAAGGGGCCAGATGCAATAACATATCTTCACCTTAGAACTGATATCTCACCATGCCCCATACTACAGGACCCCTAGAAATATCATTAAAACAGAAATCCCCTGAATTCTTGTCAGATTTATTTGTCAGTGCATATCAGTTGCACTGTTTTGCAAGTGTCTTACCAGTAAAGTCTACAGTAGTTACTACTTGTTGTTCACCAGGTCCAATAAGCATAATGTCATCAATATAATGGATGTACATAGCAAGCACCAGAGGATACGTTAACGTCCTCTACATCTGGTACAACAGCTGCAACTGGAGTTACTGATTATGCTTATGATAAACTACTGTTATTCTGAATGATCCATCTGCCTTCCAAACAAGCCAAACAAGCAAGTTGAATTAGGGGATATGATGGAAGTCACTACCCTTACATCTTGAAATGATGATGCTAATTTCTGCAATCCCTCCAGGATTGAAAGGATGATATTGCTTTTACTTTACTATTCTTCTAGATAAAGGCAGTTTCACATATCTTTCACTTGGCCTTTGCCCTATACTCCTGAGAATCAATGTGGGGATTCTGCCAGTTACCATATATCTATTCTAATTATGCATTCTGGCATTGGGGAAATAACCACAAAATGGGTTTGGAGGCTCACTGTGCCCAATGAGACAGACCAGATCTTTTTTTTTTTTTTTAATATTTATCTTTTAGTTTTAGTTGGACACAATACTTTTATTTATTTTTATGTGGTGCTGAGGATCAAACCCAGGTCCTCACACGTTCTAGGTGAGCACTCTACCGCTGAGCCACAACGCCAGCCCGACAGACCAGATCTTAAACTTTATTTATCACCTAACCTCCATGAGCTCCTACTCTGGCTGGTAGACCACAGTAATGTTTTGGGTCTCCTGGAATTAGTGCCAATTCAGAGCCAGTGTCCAGTAATCCCTAAAAAGTCTTATTATTAAAGGTATGTGTGTGTGGTTCTGGAGATGAACTAGGGCTTACCAATTAGCTACATTCCCTGCCCTTACTTTCTGTTTTATAATTCAAATTAGGCTTTTGTTCACTTGACCCAGAATTTTTGCACTTACAAATGGAGTAAGACTTTAGTAGATGTTCCATATACTTAATTTCCACCAAAGAGTAACAACCATACTCCCAATTACTCTGTAACTGAGATTTAACTCGAAATCTTTCATGGTCTGTTTGCATTCTTCACCACAATAAATTTTTGTTCCATATTTTTAAAATGTTTTAAATTTAAATTATATTTCAAATTTCCCTCCAAAATCCAATGCTTCAGGAAGCTTTACTTTTTTCCCCCGCCCCTGTGGTTATGGGGATTGAAAACAGGACCTTGTACATGCTAGGCAAGGGCTCTGCCACTGAGTTACATTCCTAGCACCCTATTATCTTTTAGCAGTAAAGAAAGTGAGGCCCATAGTATGTACCAACCCATCCTCAATCTCAAAACACTCATTGCAATCTCTTAAAAGCTGTTACATCCAGATAGTCTCACTGTGTTTCATCCAGACTTTAACTCATAGAAGAAACATTCAAACACATCCAGTAACACCAACATTCACATGATGGCCCACTCAATCATAATCATTTAAAACACATTAATCTCAAGGCCATAACAGTTTAATCACCTGCCCTATCACTGTTATACAATTTATCTAAATAATTGGGTACATTCACAAACCACTTCACATACCTCCTATTTCACTCAAGTATCCTCTCCCTGTGACAGTCTCAAGTGCAAATCATGTCACCATTCATAACAAAGATTCAGAGAGAAAAGCACAATCACTTGTTCTCAAACATAAGTAACATTTCCTCACTAAGTCTGTCGTGAGATTTCAGAAAGGTTGTCTTTCCCATGGATTTGTCCTTCCTGCCTTTCTCAGTTCCTAACACACAAAAAGCACCTCACACTGCTCCCACTCTCAAATCTAAAGCTCAGGACAAGATCTCCCTGCCTCAGAGATGGGTGATTTATCCATCTCAGTTCCTCCTGGTCCCAACCTGTTCCCTCTTTCCCCAGGGTCCGAATTCCTCTTACACACGCAGCAGCTAAACCCATCCATACGTAGACCAGTTACAAAGTCATTATGTTAGTGGCACACTCCGCACAGAAATGATTTTAAATGGCCTCTCACATTCAAGCCACGTCCCAGGGTAACAACTCACAACCACGGTACGAGTGGCGAGCACGCCGCATGAACCAACGCAAGCAGACAGCACGGCCACTCTCAAATCATTACAATCCCGGGCACAACACCCCAGTCGGGGTCGCGTCCACCCTCTCCGTCTCACCTTCCGGCACGCGCATGTGCGGACCCAGACTAGGACACATCCCCCCTCCGTAACCTCACAAAAAGACCGTGTCCCTCCGCACCAGCCAACAATTCTTTTAAGCCACTGCACAAGTCCACTTTGAGTGGGTATAGTTAGCCACGGTGCCAGTTCCTAAACCCGTCCTCGGAGGACACAGAAAGTCCGGAATCTAGACACCAACCGCCGGCGTTGGCGACACGCCAGCCCTGAGTGAACCTGCGCATGCGCAGCCCCAAGTCTGCGCTCTCCGGATCTCTGCCTCGAACTCAGTTTCCCAGAAGACTTCACTGCCCAAATGTACTTCCGGTAGGAGCTTGGTGGAGTGGTCTGGATTCGGTGGGCTACTGAGGACCTTTGGGGACTGGTCCGGGAGTCAGGCGTGGGCGTGAGGCCTTTCCTAGAAGCTGAATCCCAACTTGGGCGGGAGCGCACCCTGAGGATGCCGGAAGTGAGGAATTCTGGCTCCTCGGCATCCTGGAAGAGAAGTGTCTGTAGGTTTAGGACCCTGAGTGCAGGAACAGCCCTAGCAGGGGTGGGTTGTGTTGAGAGCACTTAGGGAGTCTAGGGTTTGTCCTTGGCCTCTGTGTGTGGCTATTTTCTCTGACAACATTGAGGGCGTGATTGTACTTTTGTGACAGTATGATTGTGTGTGACCATTTGTGTAAGTGGAGTTTGTATGACTGTGACCATGATTGTGGGTGCTGTTTGTGTCCCTTTACTTACATGTAATAAAAGTACGTTAGACATGGTCTCAGGGATACATTCAAGTAGTCAACGCACACAGCACAAAAGCCTAAATCATGTTGTCCACCCCACATTTATTTATCATATAGCTTCAGAAAAAGTAACTTGTGTAATATGTTTATGTGCTTTTTTAAGTTATTATTCAAAGATTATACCACAACCCCATTGTTTTGAAATTCTTTATTACAAAATACTTGGAGGGGACTGGAGGGCGTAGCTCAGTGGTAGAGTGCTTGCCTAGCAGATCTTTTGGTATCAAAAGACAAACTTAAGATTTTCCAGGGTGCTTCCCGGTGTGTTTTTTCTTTCATTCTTATAGTGCATCAAACTAAAGACTCAAGGATTACTTTGCTCTGGAAATTTTTGTTCTGTTTATTTCTTGTTTTCCACCTGTGTTTTAGTCTCTTTTAAAAATGCTTGTTATTGGGTCTTTTGGGTCTATTTCCTTGATCTTTTCTCTTTATAAGAATGTCTTGCCTTTTTATTTTTTCTTCTTAATACAGTGAGAATGTGCTAGTTCAGTGCTCAATTTTGAGCAGCTGGGTGAAGACCATTTCATTTTAGTGTTAGGAGACTAGTTTGGCCTAACTAAATCCCTCTGCTAAAGAGACCAGGTTGTTTTTCTTGAGTCCAATCTACTGTGGTTGTGTCCCCCTCATAGTTTTTAGTAAAGAGTAAAGATGGGATTTGTCCAAATTTCTTCTAACCATTTTAAGAATGTGTTTATGGAGTAGGGATACTTGAAGGGGGAATAAAATTATCATTTTGGGACCTCAGAGGCTTAATCTCCTGTCTTTTCTATCCTGTCATCCAGCAACACATTCTTTGGACTGAATTTCTTCTACAGTGGAACCAAGAAGAGGGTTAATTAATACATTCAATTCTAAAATAAACCATGGCCAATGTAAGTTTACTACTTCAAGTTTCTAATTGAAGTAATTTTTTTCTTATAAGACACATTAATATTTGCATTCTTCGTCCTGATATTATTACTGTACTCAGAATTATACAGTAACTTACTAGTGAATAAGTGATGGTACCAAAAGTTCATGCCCTTCCTTTTTTGCTCCTTTCCTCTCCAACCAGTTTTCATACACTCATTGAATAAATCATTCCTTGTGTTTCATATGTTCAGTCTTCTACCGGGAATAAGGTGAGAATAGAAAATAGTATTCTTTTGAGGAAATTGTTGAGAATTGAGTGATTAATTGAGCATAGAATGTAAACTTAGTAAGAAGTAGAAGAAGAAATATGAGCTGGGTATGTGAAATGGGAAGATGATCAGAGAGAAGATCACTTGATATTTTGGAGATATTGTGGTTATTGATAACAATAGGGTCTAGAGTAGTAATGACGAGTGATTGAAGTAGAGTAGGAGGCAAGATTATGGAAGTAGAAGTATTTTGGGGTTGAGGAGGCCATCATGTTAGAAAGATTCTGTATGTGGATATTTGAAATTACTGAAAATTAAGATTAGTAGTATTGGTAGTAATGACAGTAAGCCAAAAGCTAAAATTCCTGAGTGGGGGGTGCCAGGTGTGGTGGCACAAGCCTGTAGTCCTGCTGCTTGGAAGACTGAGGTGAGAGAATTGTTTGAGCCCATCAGTTTAAGACCATCCTGGGCATCATAACAAAATCATGTCTCAAAAGCAAGAAAAAAAATAATTAAAAATAAAATTCCTGAGGAGCAAAAGCCTGAATGTCAACAAATCACTGTAACAGAATAAGATAATATAATCTGAAGAATTGATGACATTAGATTTTAGAGGTGTCTGACACCAGCAATGAATAACAAGGAAGATAATGGTATAACGTTTGTGGGAGGAGAAAAAAAAGCCACAACTTGAGATGTCCTCAGGGGAAGTAGAGTTCACAGGGAAAGAACAGATAATATGTCACTCTACTGGGAAATCTATGCTTTTTCAAATTTGGGGTTTCCCAGTTAGATATTGTGGGAACTTGTTTTCTGTGACCTCACTGGATGGAAAGACTTTTTGTTTTGTGAGGTTTTAGAATTAGATGGAGACATGATTGATGTTTGCATAGAAAGAATAAAGATCTTGCCAAAAGAAAGGTGAATACTTAATTACAAACTCCAGTTTTAGATGAACAGGATATATTAATCTCAGATTATATCCGTGAATCTGGAACATTCTGTATCAATATTCTCTAACTTAGAGACAGAATATAGAGGACAGGGAGAGGTGGTAGTTGATGACAGTTACTACTACACCATTGTAACTGGTATAGTTACAAATGAATATGTATAGCTCCTGTGGTGGTGCATGACTGTAATTCCAGCATCTCAAAAGCTGAGCAAGGAGAATCACAAGTTCAAGGCCAGCCAGGGGAATTTAGTGAACTGTCTCAAAATAAAAAGGGTGGGGATGTATCTCAAGGGTAAAGCAGCCCTGGGTCCTATCCCCTGGAAAAATTAAAAACAAAAATCTTTTATATGTGCCTTAAAAAAGACTTTATAGAGTTGAACATGATGGTGGTAATCCCATTGACTCACATGGTAATCCCCGTGACTCAGGAGGCTGAGGCAAGAGTATCACAACAATTTAGCAAGCCCTAGCAATTTAGGGAGACTCTGTCTCAAAATAAAAATAAAAAGGGATTGGGATGTGGCCCAATGGGTAAGAATCTCTGGGCTGAAGCCCCAGTACTGAAAAGAAAAAGCTTTAAAGACTTTGCCCATTCAGAGTTTCAAGTTTAAGAGAATGATGAAATCTCTTAATTAGAAGATCAAATGTTTTACCATCAGTTTTTAAAAAATCAGTTACTATTGCTGCATTAACAAAGCAGCCCGATGGGAGCAAATCTTTACCCCTCAAACATCAGATAGAGGACTAATCTCTAGGGTATATAAAGAACTCAAAAAGCTAAGCACCAAAATAAACAACCCAATCAATAAATGACCAGGGACCTGAACACACATTTCTCAGAAGATGATAAACAATCAGTTAACATATATATGAAAAAATATTCAACATCTCTAGCAATTAGAGAAATACAAACCAAAACTACTCTAATAAGATTTCATCTCACTCCAGTCAGAATGGCAGCTATTATGAAGACCAACAACAATAAGTGTTGGCAAGGATGTGGGGGAAAAAGCACACTCATACGCTGCTGTGGGACTGCAAATGGTGCAGCCAATATGGAAAGCAGTATAGAAATTTCATGGAAAATTGGGAATGGAACCACCATTTGACCCAGCTATCCCTCTCCTCGATCTACACCCAAAGGACTTAGAAACAGCATACTACTGGGACACAGCCACATCAATGTTTATAGCAACACAATTCATAATAGCTAAACTGTGGAACCAACCCAGATGCCCTTCAGTAGATGAATGGATTAAAAAAATGTGGCATATATACACAATGGAATATTACTCAGCAATAAAAGAGAATAAAATCATGGCATTTACAGGTAAATGGATGGAGTTAGAGAAGATAATGCTAAGTGAAGTTAGCCAATCCTAAAAAAAACAATGCCGAATGTTTTCTCTGACATAAAGAGGCTGATTCATAGTGGGGTAGGTAGGGGGTGCATGGGAGGAATAGATGATAGGGCAGAGGGGTGGGAGGGGAAGGGAGGGGGCAGGGGGTTAGAAATGATGGTGGAACGTGATGGACATTATTATCCAAAGTACATGAATGGGGCTGGGGATGTGGCTCAAGCGGTAGCGCGCTCGCCTGGCATGCGTGCGGCCCGGGTTCGATCCTCAGCACCACATACAAACAAAGATGTTGTGTCATACAAAGATGTTGTGTCTGCCGATAACTAAAAAAATAAATAAATATTTAAAAAAAAAAAACAAAACAAAGTACATGAATGAAGAAATGAATTGGTGTGATATACTTTGTATACAATCAGAGATATGAAAAATTGTGTTCTATATGTGTAATAAGAATTGTAATGCATTCCACTGTCATATATAAATAAAAAATTAATTAAAAAAACAAAGCAGTCCCAAATTTAATATATGAAAACCACAAGTTATAGTTTGGCTAGACATCTATAGTCTGGGCAGGGCTTGGTAGGGATTGCTTGTCTCTGTTCTTGTGGTATCAGCTGAGGTAGCTTGATTGGGAGCTGAATTGACCCACTTTCAAGATGACTTCTTTATATGGCTTGCAAGCTGTTTCTGGCTGTTGCTTTGATGGCTTTAGTTCCTTTCTCTATGAGTTATTCCATAGGCTGCTTACGCTTCCTAGAAACCTAGTAGCTGGATTTCAAGAACAAGCATTCCAAGAAAGTAAGGCAGAAATATGAGCCATTTTTGAGATCTAACCTCAGAAGTCATGTAGTTCTTTTGCCATACTTTATAGTTAAATCACAAATGTCCTCTCAGCCTAAGAGAAGGGAGCAATGATCTCCACACCATTTGGGAGGGAACAAATTCAGGTTGCATTGAAGAAGAGCATAATGGTGAGAGATACAACTGTGTCCATCTTTGGGAAGTATAGCCTGCATCAGATGTTTACTAAAGCAATTGTGTGAAGAGTAAAAGTATCTATGACATAATAGTCATAATGATGAAGGAATATCTTCAAGCTTATTTTTTTCCCCTAAGATGGAGATTTTTGTAAAACATTCTGGGAAAAATAAATTTTTTTTTTCTTTTTTGTGCAGGAGATTGAAACAGGGGCACTTTACCCAATCCCAACCACTCCCCCCCCCTTTTTTTTTATTTTGAGAGAGGGTCTCACCAACTTGCTGAGACAGCCTCAAACTTAAGATCCTCCCATCTCATCCCCCCCAGGTTGCTGGGATTAGAGATATGCACCACTGTACCTCGCAGTTTTCAGCTATTTAATTGGGAACCTCTATGTATTCTTAATTTCTAGATGATTAACAAGAGTTTCCCACAGCATGCAAGAAAATGTATCTGCAGAAACTGAATTGTTTAAGAACATATAGGGTGCTGGGGCTGTAGCTCAGTGGTAGAGAACTTGCCTAGACTATGTAAGGCCCTGGATTCAATCCTCAGCACCACATAAAAATAAATAAATAGATGCTGGGGATGTGGCTCAGTGGTAGAACGCTTGCCTTGCATGTGTGAGGCACTGAGTTTGACCCTCAGCATCACATATAAATACATAAAGTTACTGTGCTCATATACAACTAAAATTTTTTAAACAAACAAATAAATAAAGATATTGTATCCATCTGCTACAACAACAATAACAACAAAGAAATATAAGCATTCTGCTTTAGTCACACTAAATTCCTTTTTGATCAATTTCAAAGACTTAATTTATACACTGTTTTTCCTTTCCTCCAATGCCTTCTTTTAGTACCTATCTTTGCTTTTTAAAAATGTTTCTTATAATATCATAAAATAGTACTGTGATGTATTACTTTAGGGGTTGGTGTTGTTCAGAGATGTGAGACGTCTCTCAAGAAGAATGGGAATGCCTGAATCCTGCACAGAGGAATTTGTACAAAGATGTGATGTTGGAGTACTGGAGCAACTTGGTTTCACTTGGTAAAGTTACCTAACAGATAAGAATGTCTCTATCAACTCATTGAGAATAATTTCTTAGAATATCTGCTCTCTCCCCTGTGAATTTTAGGGATAGCTTTCAGTTAACTAGATAAAAATTTCCTTTGGGTAGAAATGAACACAATTAGATTCCCTGTTAGCACAATCAATTTCCCTATCCTCACTTGTTCTGGTCCTTTCTTATAGTAATTTTTTTCCTTGATGACTAATGGATAGAATTAAAATGCTGCATTGTTAAAGCATAACATTGTTAAAGAAGCCAGGCTTTGTCTTTTATTTTCACTGTGCTATACCTGCCAGTGCACAGCATAGAACACTAACCACATGGATCCCAAATGTGAAGCTGTTTGGCTTTTCCAATTAATATAGTGGTAGGCTGGGTCAGTAAAAGTCATTTACTATTTATAGCTCAAATGGACACTATCTTATTTTCTATAACAAATGCACTTTCTTTTACATAATTTGCCTTTGGAAGTTACATTCTAAGAACTTCACATTTAATGTTAAAAAATCTGAAAAAAATATATCAGGAAACTTTTTTCTCATAGCAAAATAAGAAGACAAAAAGGTTATATAAATTTTAGTATTTCTTTGTTTTGTTTCTTATAATCTTGAACTTAACTGAACGTGACATAATTTATCCTTTAATTTTTCTTCTACAGACCTGTGATTTATTTTTATGTAAATCAACTCTGAGTCACTGTGTTTGGGTATTATCATTTCCATCTCATTTCAATTTCTTTTCTTATAACTAGGACTTTCTGTTTCTAAGCCAGCTGTGATTGCCTCATTAGAGCAAGGGAAGGAACCCTGGATGGTTGTGAGGGAAGGGACAGGAAGAAAATATTCAGGTGAGTAAGCCATTATCAGGAAGCTATTGCAGAATGTTGGAAACTGGTCAGAATATTGAGTTTGCAAGGTTATTAACAAAAATAAGTAAGCGGGGCTGGGAATGTGGCTCAAGCGGTAGCACGCTCGCCTGGCATGCGTGCGGTCTGGGTTCAATCCTCAGCACCACATACAAACAGAGATGTTGTGTCCGCCAAAAACTAAAAAAAAAATATATATATATATATTAAAATTCTCTCTCTCTCTCT